CTGAACTGTGTTGAGGCTTTGAACTGGGACCCCCAAGTGTGGCGGTTGATATACTGCATTTCCCTGGCTCTCGTTGCCTGGTGTCCTTTCTTGATTCATCTCCGTTCCTACTGTGAGCTACCAACATCCCGCAAAGCGCACCTAACCCAATGCGCCAGTGTGCTGACGGATCGGTCTTCAAAGTGCGTGCCTCCAGCGGCTCCAGCCGATCCGTCCGTCGAGCCCTTTCAGGTGTCTGGTCCCCGAAGAGAATGTGAGACATACGTCGCCGTCTCTTTGCATGTTCTGAGTGTCAGCTTCCCCCACCCCAGTTATATATCTCTCCATGCTTTCCCCATTCAGGAATCAACATGTAATATGTGCTTGATGGTGAAAATAATTTTGGTGCTTTATCTCTGCTTTGTTCTCCGCTCCTAGAAAGCCCCTGCCTGCCACTCGTCACGCAGGGCGATACGATGGTTTCTTTTGTGCTGTTCTCTGCGCCGTGTAAGCCCGTCTGCCACGGAGGGGGCTGCCCTTTTGAAACGGGATGACAGGTTGGCAAAGAGAAAGAGAGAGAGAGTGAAGAATCTATATTGTCACTTTTCCACCCCCAGGTCCTCAAATTACAGGCTCACAGCCTCGCTGTTAGGTACAAAACATGGTTTTACCAGCCTGTCTCCCATCAGATATCTCTGCTTCATGGCAAGGGACGGCCTACGCTTCGTGCGCCAGAGGCAAGCCGCGCAACACCCCCTCCCCGTCTTTCTTGTCTTGAAACAGAGACTTCTCGATATTCTTCAAGCTGCTGCCGCTGGTCCTCTTCCAAAGAGTATCTTAAGCCCTCCCCTGTTTTCCTTTGGCCTTCCTTGACGGCAGTCTTTACTCTCGACAATCGACCGGAGTTTCCACCACAGTCAATAATACTTGCTGCTTAAAAAAATAATAATAATAAAGTAACAGTATAAATATTTCCACCCCCACTTCATTGAAAATACAAAGACTGCCTTTGCTCCAACACACGTTTTCAAAAGAAAATCTCACACAAGCAATTTGAAATGAATCCGCTTTTGTGCAATAAAAGCAGCAAGGGGGTGAAAAGACACAGAAACAAACAAAGAAAACCCGCTGGAAAGTAATTTGGCAGCCAGAAATCTGCACCTGTCCCAGATGTCCTTCAGAGCAGCCTTCACTAACCCCTGAAACGCAGCCACTGTCAGGGGCCCATTCCGTAGCCCCGGTGCCCCACGTTTGGGATGCAATGGACCGGCTGCAAATTTTGAACAGTTTTGGACCAAAATATGCTGCTTCTCTTCAGCTGGCTGGCTTCCTCTCCAGTAAATGGTGTGGGTGGGTGTTGTGGAGTACACAAAGCCGCCTTATACCGAGTCAGACCCTGGGTCCATCAAAGTCAGACTGGCAGCGGCTCTCCAGGGATTCAGGCAGAGGTCTTTCACATCCCCTCCTGCCTAATCCTTTTAACTGGAGATGCCGGGGACTGAACTTGGAACCTTCTGCATGCCAAGCAGATGCTCTGCCAGTGAGCCACAGTGTGGTAGAAAAGTGTATCCATGACAGCGCCAGGGAAATGGCCTCTCTATCAGGGAAATTGCTCACTTTGGTCCATCCTTTCAAGGAGCTCACACTAGTGTACATGACCCTTCTTTTCATATTTTATATTTACAGATAAATCTGAGTTGCTGTTGGTTGATGATGGGGCTTGTAGTCGACGGGGTGACGCTTTGCCCTAAGAAAGAGAGTAGATTCATAGCTTGGGGAAAAGAAGTATGTTGGCCCACATCTATAGGCAGCACTCAGGTCTGGGCTCTTTCTCCACACCGCCTTTGCAGGTTGCAAGCTGTTGGCGGCGATGCCATAAATGACTAGTCTTTGTTTCGATTTTAGTTCGTACAGCACCTAGCACAACAGTTAAGCTCTCTTTAAACAGCCACTGTCATTACCACCTTGGAGAGGCAGACCATATCCAATTCATTTTTTAGTAGTTGGTGACTCAGGCAGAGTATGGAGACTCTTAAATTGTGTTTAATTTGTTGTTGGGACGATCCCAGAATTTCAGCTCACAAGCTGGTTACGGCGCCAGGGCTCAGTCCTCTGAGGAGTGAGTAGAGTGGCAGTGCTCAGACCTCTGTGGTCTCTGAGTATGCATGGAGTGTGTCTTCCTCTCTGCTAAGCAACCACAGCTTACAAGAGGAAAGGAAGTGGCACAGGAATATATGTAAACCAGAAAAAAATGCATGTGCCCAAATTTTAACACCAAAAATCAATGATTTAATAAATTATATAGATATGGCATATATAGTACTCAGAACAAATTTTCCTATGACAATAAATAGACAGGTAGGAATTCACAGGTAAAGTTAATCACAGGTAGAAATTCACAGATGGAGTTTTTCCAAAAACAATTTGTAATAATACGTTCAAAAAAGTCTTTGCACTGTAAGGATGTAGTAATGTCTCTGCCAGCTGATTAGACGGACCCCCGGTTATAAATCCATTTCAATAATTTTTTCAGGAGTCATGCTGGATTCAACATTTCAAAGATACATGTAGGCATCCACAAAGCATATTCAGACACAGCAATCCTCAGAGATTCCCAATGGAGAACCAGTCATTTCTTGGAACCTTTCTTCAAAATTCTGAAGCATGTCACCACTAGGCCACTTTCACTAGAGGGGAAGCAACCACATCTTGGCAAGGCTTGTCTGAGATCAGGGAATGAGACTCTGGAATCAAATGCTTAGCATCGAAATAGAACATCTCCCTTTCTGCACAGAATAACTCGGTTTAAGTCCAGGAGCACCTTAAGAGACCACCAAGATATTTGGGTTCTTTGACTCTCGAAAGCAAGCACCCTGAAAATCTTGTGGTCTCGAAGAAGAAGAGAGAAGAAGAGGAGATTGGATTCACTACTCAAAGGAGTCTCGGTGTGGCTTACAAATCTCCTTTCCCTTCCCCTCCCCTCCCCACAACAGACACCCTGTGAGGTAGGTAGGGCTGAGAGAGCTCTTTCGAGGACTGCTAGTGAGAGAACTAGTAAGAGAGAGGGGGCCGCGGTGGCTCAGGGGTTAAGACCCTGAGCTGTAGACCAGGTCTGTAGTTCGGCAGTTCGAGACCCGAGTGCCGCATGACAGAGTGAGCTCCCATCTCTGGCCCCAGCTCCTGCCAACCTAGCAGTTCGAAAGCAAGAAATTGCAAGTAGATAAATAAGTACCACTTCTGTGGGAAGGTAACAGTGTTCCATGCGCCTCGGCATTTAGTCATGCCAGCCTCATGAGCACGGAAACGTCTTCGGACAGCGCTGGCTCTTTGGCTTGGAAATGGAGATGGGCACCGGCCCCTAGGGTCGGATTTGACTACCTTTCGAGCAAGGGAAACCTTTACCTTAGTGAGAGAACAGCTATGAGAGAACTTGTGACTGGCCCAAGGTCACACCAGCAGCTGCACGTGGAGGCGTGGGGAATCAAACCCGGTTCTCCCAGATTAGAGACTGTGCTCCTAACCACTACACCAAACTGGCTCTCCTGCCAGAGGTGCTCCTGGACTTGAATCTAGCTCTTTGAAACTAGGCACTGTTCTTAATCTAGTCATATTTAAATATTTAATATTTATTTAAAATATTTTTTTTAA